CTGCAATTTCCCAAAACTTTGGAAAATTCTGGGAATTGCATTCAAAAAATTCAAGAGAGCATACCCTTAACAAACAGTAGTGGCATGCTTCTATTGTGGCCCAGTTGTGATATGTGTCTGATTCCTTATGCATTGTAAAGATTGAGTTACAGTACATTATAATGTCAATGTTTCTCCAGCTTCTAACCCTAGAAAATGAATTTGACAGGGAAGAGTTGGGGTGGCAACTTATGTCCCTAGAGATCCTAGATGTGCATAGCCCATGGTGATGGTGGATGGGGAGCATAATCCACCACAGTTGTCTAGAGAACAGCAAGGCAGGCTTCTTGATGCTGGATCTCAATTGCTGCATAAAGGTCCAGGTTCCGATTTTTCATCATCTATTGAGTCCATCTCAGTCCAGAGTGGTTTTAAAGTTTTTTTGGCACTAGAGTGCCTGGTTTCTTTCCTTTACTGTCTCGTTAGAAGCTTTTTCCCCCTCATTGATTCTGAAGATCAATAACTGTCTCTCAAAGTTTCCACTGATGTAATTTTTAGACAGATTTAATGGAGAAAATGCAGCTTCCTCTGTGGTTTGCCAGCTTTTAATCGAGTCTCATGCTAGGCTTGTTTGGTGGAATATTGTAGCCATTTTAAAATTAGGCTTGCAGTTGCAAAATTGTGGTCACATACTGCTCAGAACTGAGAACAGGAGCTAGAACTTCTGAACTGTCAACACCCACTCTAACATGCAGGCTTACTTTCCATAGCAAGAAATGTTCTATTTTTTGATGGTGTTTGTAGCAGCAGCTGCCACTGAAGTCATGAAGATGGTTGACTGAATCATATCCCACCGTCTGTGGTTTACAATTTAGTAGGGAGAAGACTTCCTGTTTAAAACCAAGCTGCCTGAAAGTTTAAGGAACCAACATTATGACAGCATTCTTTATAATTTTTAATCAAATAATTAGAATGAAACCGTCTAGCTAGAAAATGGAGTAGGAAGAAATTGTGAGCCCCAAATTTCACCCCAATTGAAGGCTGTTTCAATCAAGACAATCCATTTCATGTGACTGAAAAAAGTATTTACATTTTCTTAATTGAAGTGTAGCATTGTGTTGGCAAGCAGTATTTAAAAGGATAACTCTAGCCACATTGTAAAACACGTAGTCCAGATTCAGTTATCCTACAAAGAGATCAAAGAACTCACCATTCTTTAGTTTCACAACTTTCCTGTTTCTGGAATATAGGCACCAATTTTTAATCAGAGGCTTGAGAATTAGGTCCTTTCTCATGGAAATAGAGGCAACTGACTCTAGGTGATCTTTGTGTAAGAAGACTAATAATGGAATTTACCTCCTTGCATTTTTACTTAACCCAATTAGAGAATGTAAATGAACATGAGAAAATCATCATCTGATCATTTATATGTTCATAACAGGATCAGTTTAAAATGTTTCATTCCTGGTCAGAAACTGTCTTATGAAATACACAGTGGAAAGATTGTAGCAGCAGTTTGTGCCTTATTATATTATGTAAGGTTTATAAATTACTCTTCGTTAGTGACAGACAAACTATATTAAAACTTTGTGTACCATGGTGCATGTCTTATTAACAAGTCTGTATCCCTTATTCCCCCTTTCCCCTTGATATAGGCGAGGATTACTATCTCTGTATTAAAGCTTTCAGGAAATGAACCAGCTACCAATGCTTAAGTAGAATTATTTTATATTGTATTGCAAGCCAATAAATAAAATCATGCTTAATAATTAAACTTGTTTTGCAAAAATAATGCTTATTCTTTCACCCCAGGATATGTCTTGAGAGTTTAGTAGATTTACTTTCTGATATTAATATTTCTGAGATTAATCTTTCTCAGATAACATCTAGAGTGCAAAGGCATAACTCTTACTGTTTAAACATTATGATACATGGTTTGGTATTAGTAAGAACTCATTTGTTCTCTATCTGTTGACATGGTTTTTTTCTAGCTAAGTAAAATTATAGAGAGTTCAAGCAAATGAATGAGCACTCTTTTTGTTTCAGCCTCAGAGGAAACAAATGATAAACCTGCATATTTCAAAGGAAATACTTAAACTGTGTAGTGCAAAAAGTATGATATGAGCATGAACTGAGTTGGCATATGCTGTTCATTATAAATTATATTCAAACAAATTGGAAGCTGTGGACCTAGAACTCCCAGAAGTACAAGCTGGATTCCGAAGGGGCAGAGGAACTAGAGACCAAATTGCTAACATGTGCTGGATTTTGGAGAAAGCCAGAGAGTTCCAGAAAAACATCTACTTCTGCTTCATTGACTGTGCAAAAGCCTTTGACTGTGTGGACCACAGCAAACTATGGCAAGTCCTTAAAGAAATGGGACTGCCCGATCACCTTATCAGTCTCCTGAGAAACCTGTACGTGGGACATGAAGCAACAGTTAGAACTGGATATGGAACAACTGATTGGTTCAAAATCGGGAAAGGAGTACGACAAAGCTGTATTTTGTCTTCCTGCTTATTTAACTTATATGCAGAATACATCATGCGGAAGGCTGGACTGGAGGAATCCCAAGTCAGAATTAAGATTGCCAGAAGAAATATCAACAACCTCCAATATGCAGATGATACTTTAAAGAACCTTGTAATGAGGGTGAAAGAGGAGAGTGCAATAAACGGTCTGAAGCTCAACATAAACAAAAACAAGATCATGGCCACTGGTTCCATCACCTCCTGGCAAATAGAAGGGGAAGATATGGAGGCAGTGACAGATTTTACTTTCTTGAGCTCCCTAATCACTGCAGATGGTGACAGCAGCTACAAAATTAAAAGATGCCTGCTTCTTGCTTTGGAGGAAAGCAATGACAAACCTTGACAGCATCTTAAAAAGCAGACACGTCACCTTGCCAACAAAACTCTGCATAGTCAAAGCTATGGTTTTTCCCATAATGATGTATGAAAATGATAGCTGGACCATAAAGAAAGCTGACCGCCGAAGAATTGATCCTTTTGAACTGTGGTGCTGGAGGAGGATCTTGAGAGTCCCCTGGACTGCAAGGAGAACAAACCTATCCATTCTGAAGGAAATCAACTCTGAGTGCTCACTGGAAGGACAGATCCTGAAGCTGAGGCTCCAATACTTTGGCCATCTCATTAAAAGGGAAGACAGTGGAAGATAGGAAGGCCTGGCATGCTCTGGTCCATGGGGTCACGAAGAGTCGGAAATGACTAAACAACAACAATGAATCCTGCTAACCATCGTTTCGACTGCTACGTTGCAACAAACCTGTGCTAAGTGTAACTTTCAAAATCCAAATAGCAGAGGTTGCATAACCGTATTCTCTGCGGGGTTCAGCCTTTGAGAAGAAGGATACAGAGTCCACATGGCCTGCTAATTTACTTTAACCATTTCTCATACCCTCCTTGGAATATTTTATTTTATTTGGCTGTGTTCTCGTGTTCTCATAGAAACTGAGTTATGATATACTTCCCCCCTCCAGGAAAATTTAATAATAGTTTCATGTTTTCTACAGGCATGATGAGAAAACTGATCATTTCCTCACTTATGTAGATATACAAGATTTATTTTTTAAATTGCTTTTGTCTTTTTATATGGATTGTCAACACTACCCAATATTCCCTATGCATACAAAACATTATCCCTGAACAATTATATTATTCACTTCCTCTGTGGATGGTGATTCATTTTCTTTGCAGTCTTTATGCACTTGGTGAATCATCCAGTTATGTACCGAGATATAGACAGATAATAGCTGTTGTTTTCCAAACACTGCCAGCATTTTCTTTCTCTCCAAATCTTTATGTGGCTTTACATGAATAATGTAAGTTATGAATACCAAAATAAGACAGGAGTGTCAGTGTTAGCTTTTCCTTTCCAGCAGTGCAGAAAATCCCTGGCAGCATTTTCATTCTGAAGTCATACATAAATAAAGCATACTTTCCCCTCTATCCTTCAGCTCCAGAACTTCTCATCATGTTGTTGTGCATATGAGGAAGGTTACTCTGTTTTCTAGAAACGAATGCAGTTGTTCTTATACTTTGTTATGACTTCTTTGAAGTTTTCTCTGCAGGTTATAGGAGCTAAAATGGAATGAAACTCATACAGTGGACCCTCTACTTACGGAATTAATCCGTATTGGGATGGTGGCTGCAAGTCGAAAAGTCTGTAGGTCGAATCTCCGTTGACCTACAATGCATTGAAAACCGATTAATCCCATAACTGGCGGTTTTTATTCTATTTTTGTTCCATTTTGGTTTTTTTCCTGGTCTGTAGGTCGATTCTCTGGCTGCAAGTCGAATCTAAATTTTGCAGCCAGAGAAGTCTGTAACTCGAAAAGTCTGTAAGTCGAGGGTCCACTGTAACTAGTTCTCTTCCTTGTTTCTTTTTGTCTTTTTATAATTTTTATTATGGAATATCTTGCAGTTAAATGTTTGTTCAGTCATGTGCACATATTTATTTGGGCTTTCACAAACAAGCTTTCTACAAATGAATCTAGAATATACTATATTAAAATGCATTACACCTGTACTGTAAAATAGTGCTAAAGTTGTACAAGTATCCATCTATAAACACAAAGTCACTGGTGCTGTCTTGTAGGCTTCTTTCTTTCTTTCTTTCTTTCTTTCTTTCTTTCTTTCTTTCTTTCTTTCTTTCTTTCTTTCTTTCTTTCTTTCTTTCTTTCTTTCTTTCTTTCTTTCTTTCTTTCTTGCATGAAGGCATTCTTGAGAATTTCAGCTTCAGGAGACTGAAAGTACTCAATAACAATGGATTTTAAAATACCTATTTCTATTAATGCTAAGTAAATGTACAATATCTCAGGTTACAAAACGAAAGGACAGGATAGATTTCCTATGCAGAGTGTATAGAGCCTCATTGCTTCCAAAGCAAAGGGAAAGGCTCCTGTCTGCAGATTTCCGTTTCCAGAAAAACGAAACGTAACATGAACAAGCACTGTGTGAAGACGGGAACTCTTTGGTTCACTGAATCCATTGTGTATAGCAATGAACTTTGAGCAACCGTACAGCCAAGAAGGTAGTCACTACCTATGATACATCCAAAGAAATACAGTGTGTTATTGTGTCTGCCTTCTTCATTTTGTCTGCATATGGTGAACAGGGCAGTAATATGCCAAACCTCCTCCAGTACTGGCCATTATTAAAAATCCAACCTTGATCCTAAAGACAATGATAATATTTGACTTCAAACTGTGTAGTTTCAAGTGCACTTGGTGGATGTTCATGATAAGCGTTAACACTGCATTTCTGTTAACATGTGGTACATTGGTGCAGATGCAGCATTTTTTCCTCTTAGTTACCTGCTTCCAGCTTGGAGATCAAGGGAAGTCTCTTTCTTACTCTACTCCTGGCTGGCAAGTGGGCATCATCAAGAGCTATTATGGTGGTTGAAATGATAACCGATAAATCAGTAGTCAACATGGCCCTAGGCAAGTCATTATTTTTGGAGCTTGAATTGGCCCTCCCCCAATCTAAAATATGAATACCAAAATCAGTCTAACCTATCTACATAAATTACATGAAATCAATCTAACCTACCTACATTACAGGGCTATTGTATAGATTCAATTAAAACACAACATATTTCAAAGTCAAATTTGCTTTGAATACTCAAGTGTTATATCAGTGCTGAACGTTGCTGCCAGAATGCTGACAACACCGTCACCTGAAATATTCTGGAAGCGTAACCTTCTTAACCTGTTGCAGCAGCCATGTTTTGGGTTACCCTAATTTTCAGCATTTATTGTATGTGAACAGGTAAAGACATAATAAATCTTTTAAATTTCATGGAAACATAGGGTGCACCTGAAATATTCACACACATATGTAACAGAGTATGAAGGGGTGTTTTCATAAGGTTTTGCAAATGAGGCAAAAGAGAGCAATGTCACATGTCCAGGATTTTATGGCTGACAAGAAGGACTGTAAATCCTTTCTTGTCTTGTATGCAAGGATTAAGAAGTGCAAAATTGTTCTTCTTGTCCTGTGGTAGGGGTTTAATGTAGATTACACACGCAGTGTAAAATGACTGTGGCTGCTGCTTTATTGCATGGACTTCTAAGGAACAGATGTATCGGAGGAAATGTTGCATCTTTTTGATCAGCATACTGACTTTTTATTGCTTTGTCTGTATGTTTGTTTCTGAAAGAGAAAGGATTCTAGTTTTGTGGACAGTCTCCACAAGTTATGAAGATTTTAGCAAATAAAAATAATGCTCCTTCACTCACTGATGCCTGGAGGCAATTTCATTTCATAAGGCTTCAGTATTCCTCATTGAGGTCTCTGACTCAGTCACTAAATTGATTGATAAAGAAATAATTTAGCAAGGATTCTTTATATCTCTAGTGACAAGATGTCCCAAGAAACACCTGATTATGCTTCCCTCAACAACCTGTTCTGATCAAAAGCCAGCAGGACATCTGCTTAATTCATATCTGGGAAGGCTTAAACAGATGGGCAGCTAGGGAAGATGTTTGTACTAGTCTATCCTTATTTCTTTCCCCTATCTTACTTCTAGGCTGACAAAGAATAGGGGGTAGGTGCCAGGATATGGGGAGCAATGTCATATAGAAATTACCTGTTCTTCCCTTATGGGAGAGAGACCCTGTGCAAATGCTATCTCTTAAAATGCTGTGTTTGCAAAATAGTTTGACAAATTTTTAAAAGACAGATTATTTTGATTATCATTAGTGAGGAGCCGAAGAATATGAGGTCTCTTTGGCCTGTTTTCTAAACACTACAAACTGCTCACAGATTAACTTTATGAAAGATCTGTTTATGTAGAAGGTAAGATGTTTTCCGTTAGAACAGTTTTTCAACATCTGTTGCAAAATTGTGTTATACAACAACAACCCAAAAGTTTATGCAAGAACAGAGATTAAATATGCAAGTGGAGACCTGCTGGATTAAACCAGCAGTCCTATCTAGCCTGGTATTCTGTTTGTAACAAAGGCCAACCAGGTGCCTCTGGGAAACCCACAGACAAAATGTTTGAAGATAAAAGCAAGAGATACACGAATCTGTTGATTCAGCCACCATGAGGTTTGTCTTTAGGTAGATCTCCCTGAAAATTTATCCTCCGTCATCATCATCATCATCATCATCGTCGTCATCATCATCATCATCATCATCATCATCATCATCATGTGCCATCAAGTCAGTTCTGATTTATGACCACCCCTTTTTCAGGGTTTTCTAGGTAGACAGTACTCAGAAGGAGTTTACCATTCCCTTCTTCTGGGGGCATCCTGCTGTTGTGTAGCTTGCCCAAGGCCACACATGTTGGGGCTACTTGCAAGAAGCACAGTGGGAAATCAAAACTCCCAATCGCTGGCTGCACAACCAGATACCTAAACCACTGAGCTATCCAGCCAGTTTGAGAATTTATCCAGTCCTTTTTTTAAAAACCGCATGTCTGTTTTCTAGAAGTGAATCCTACAAGTTAAAGAGCTGAACATGGAAAAGTTACTTTTTGGGATTGGATCTCCTTGAATCCCTAGTTCTGAGAGATGCAGTTTTAAAAAAAGGAATTTCCAAGCAATGTTCAATTCTATATTATTTGAAGAAATCCCCATTCACTCCACCTCTCATGAATCTATAGTTAATTAGTTTTAACTCTATTCTTGCTGTGTAAATCAGAAGCATTTATAGTAGCCATAATTCCACTACAGAAATATGAACAATACGCATGGACAATAGAAAGCATAGTCCAAAATATCCAGAAATCACCTGTCTAGGGAAAGTTGATTTGCTCCATAAATTCCTGCTAGCTTTTCTTCAGAAGTTCCTGTAAAAATTGTGCAGCAAAAATTGAGGCACAAGCAGTTAGTACATGATGTGGAGCATTCACTGCATTGTTGGAGCTCTCATCTGCACACCACTTTATCTTTGGGCTCTCCTAATTCAGCCCTTGGTACCTCTGCATGTGGGTAGACTGCCATACTCTGGGTCGCCCCATCTGACTTTTTAACATCATAACAGAGGTTTGTGGCGTTTTTGGTCTTCCGGTTTTCCTTTAATCATTGCTGTTTTTGCCAAGTTTTGTTCATTTTTCTTGAGCTGTGCCCAGCGTGGAGAGATTGTGGAAGATTTATTTTGTGACTTTATATATTTATTTATTTTGCCTTTTAAAAATTGTATTGACAATCCTCTCACATTACTTAGGAACCATGTATTTCATGACATCCAGAACAGAACAAAGTAACTTAAAATACCTTGTATTGTACTTATACAATATTTTATCACCTTATAATAATCTATACACCTGCTAATTACATATCCTAACATACTTAAATTTATTCTCTAACTCATTACTCATAATTATCTGTCTTAAAAGATTATGGGACAATCCAAATTATTTCCCATAGCATGTTCCTATTCATTTGATTCAGTACCATATGTTAATAAAGGTTGTGAGGTTATCATAAATTCATTGTGTTTTATTGCCCCTCTGGTTTGTGACTTGAGAAAACTCATAGCTATTCAAATTAGCTGAACATGTTGTGACTTAGTTTTACTTACACAACATTTTCAAAGCAGAAATACAGGAGTAAGCAATATCTTTGTAGACGACTTAAAAAAGCATACAATCTGTAAACTTTTCTGGATCATAACCATCCACTTTTTCAGGTGTGTACCAGCGTGAAGAACTTAAAAATCCAAAAGTTATTGGCAAGATGGATTTCTCCAGGCGCATTTTTCTTAGATGTAATTCAGGAAAGATGCAGGCTGCATGAGGGCTGTTGTTTTAAAGTTACAGCTGAGGCAGCCATGGATTAGATACCACCCTCCAATTCTTCATATAAAGAGGCACAGCCCCCGCAGCCCACACCACTCCACATTGTCCTTTCTTAGAAATTGACACGTGACTTTGATTTTCTGTGTCACCTCCTAACCAAGCAGAGACATGTCTAATTGCATGCTAAAATATCCTGAAGCACATTATTCTTTCTCTCCCTCCCCCATATCGGAGCAACCATCTTCCCTTAAGTTGTTGTGTCTTAAATTACTCAGAAGTGCAATAGTCACTTGTGATGGGGCAGACGAACGGATACTTGGACAAGAAACATACATCGTCTTTTCAATTACTGTTATCTTGGGGGGGGGGAGGCAAGGAGATGTATGGTCCTTAGTTTCTTTAACTTAGGAGCCACTTTGTACCTGTAGTTGTCAAGGCAATGCTCATTTTTAAATAATAGTGGTTTTTTTTTTGAGGCAAATTAGTATTTCTGGTCAAAGCATGTTTGAAGCCTCCAAAGTAAGGAATAACCCACAATGCCAATGTGGCTCCTTTTCAGTTAATGTGTAATGAAAAAGAGCCTGCTATACAAAAATTGTAGTTTCATTTGTATAGTGGATCATTTCTTAGAATGAAGGGAGGGGATCTTTCTAGGCAGGCTAAAGCAATATAGAGCTCTCCAGCACTTGTTACTTAAGTAACACGCTCCCCCCCCATTCTGTTTTATAAATAACAGTCTCAGCGATGAAACTGTGAACTCTTGGATATTGTCCTTAATTTTCATAGGCCATAGCTTCTGTTTTAAATTCAGGTATTTTGCAATTCTTCATACAGCTCTGTGTCATGGTAATAAATTCTGACAAAGGTTTTTTGTTTCAATCCTCAGGCCAGGATGATCCAAATAGCTTGCGTCACAAGTACAACTTCATTGCAGATGTGGTGGAGAAGATCGCCCCAGCTGTTGTTCACATCGAATTGTTTCGCAAGTAAAGAAGAGATCCAAATTTTAGTATTTCGTTAGTGACTGTGGATTTTGTGTACTGCCGTGGAAAATATTAATTTGTGCAGTCACTGTTTGTGAGAATAACATTTACCGTTTTCCCGAAAATAAGACCTAACCTGAAAATAAGCCCTAGTATGATTTTTTCCAGGATGCTCACAGTATAAGCCTACACCAAAAATAAACCCTAGTTAAGTGAAACTCCGCCCTCCACCATTGTGCATCAACCAGAAGATGACATGACTGTAAAATAAAAAATCCCCTGAAAATAAACCCTAATGCGTTTTTAGGAGCAAAAATTAATATAAGATCCTGTCTTATTTTCAGGGAAACACGGTATATTACAACTGATAACACAAGGTATCAATATTTAAATAGTTACTATCTTGCAGTAATGAATGTTTTATTAAAGCACTGCACATCTAATATTTAACAAAATATATACTGACAATATAAACAAAATCAAAAAACATATTTTAATGTTATAGTCAGAAACTGCTTTGTTTCTTCATCTTTAAATCCCCTATTTTCTAGATTGCCTTTTTCAAAGAGGGAAGTTCCTGTTGCCAGTGGCTCGGGTTTTGTTGTTTCTGAAGATGGATTGATTGTTACTAATGCCCATGTGGTTACCAATAAGAACAGAGTGAAAGTGGAATTGAAGAATGGCGTCACATATGAAGCTAAAATTAAAGATATTGATGAAAAAGCAGATATTGCACTAATAAAAATAGACACTCAGGTGAGTCAATTATGAACAGAATATTACAGATAACATCTATTTTCTTATCAATACCCACATATTATTTGTAAGAAATATTTGTGAAAGCAAATAAAAACTGTTGTGACTGCAAGTCAAGATAATTTTAAAGTTATTTAGCAAGAGCTGAAAACCAGAGCCCTTTGCATATATTGGTATGATAGTAACTTTACTATAAAGAATGGGCTTGACTGGAATGGAAATTACATTTCCATCGTAATTATATCATTAAAGTAAATAAATTGATTGTGTCAGAATTTATGTCGCTGCGATATAGACGTGAACTTAAGTACTGAAATAGATTTGATATGTTTTGACATGTTACTGCTTATTGCCATCACTTCTTGTGAGGATCCATGTAGCTAATTGTTTGAAAGGTCTTAAAAACGTTTAGACCTGCAGAATTACTCAGAGTACTTTGACAAGACTGAAACAATTGAGCAGTGGACAAAAGCAAGGGATATTTTCAGTTATTACAGCAAATGTGTGATAGTCACTTACCCATAATGTAAGGTAAGTCACTGTCACACTTACCTTACCTTTGATGTTCTTATTCTACCAGTATGTGTACATTTTCGAGCTTAATAGGCAGAACCATTTTGGCTTTTTGCATCCAATGGCTGGCCACCTAGGGATGTAACCAGGAATGGAGGAACCTGATAAGACCATGATATACTGTATGGTTGATACTGTGACATCGATTCTTGCTCAACAACAAAGGAGTATGTCTCCATGTATTCAATACATTTTAATTCCTAAGTCTGTTGCCTTTTGATCTGATCTGTTCTTAACACTGACGTTTTAAAAATAATTGGAAATTGAGTGGAAAGACTTTGTGGTTGTCAGAACCTTTCCTCTCCACAAAGTCATCTTCAGAAGCTATAAAGTGTCAGAAACTGAAACATAAATGGGAGGTTTAGTGTTTCCCTTCCTGACCATTCATTTATTTTACTCCTTGTCAGAATGCCTGACTAGGACAATTTAGGAACACTATTTCACATTTAATGACAATTACACAATTTCCCCACTGAGACATACAGCTATATGCAGTGATGGGAAGTCAAAAATGGAATAGCTATAGGTCAGATGGACCAAGTAAATAACAGACTTAAAACTAAGGATGTAGTTGTCCCTTTCTTATTTTAGGAGCTGAATGCATTCTTACAGTGCGCTCTTCGGTCTACATGCAAACCAAGACTCACAGTGGACTTGGTACAATCCTAACTACTGTACCTTAGATGGTTGAGGATTGGCTGAGCCAGCATTGAACCAGCAGAGGCTCTGCTGAACCCAGATTGCTCTCAGCCTAGGGATGGCGGATATTATTTATGACTACTATGACCCCGATTTAAATTTGTGGTAGCGTAGTGGCTGTAAATTTGGGCTGAGAGGGATTTGGGCCTACTTCACCAGTCCCTTTTTTGGCTCATTTGTCAGCTTATCTCAGCCAGTGTAGCAGTTTCTGCCAACAGATCCAGTTTTATCCAGAGATTTGAGGTCAATCAGCACAAGCAAGTTGTACTGTCACAAGAGGCTTATGTCTATTTCAAGCCTACTACAATGGGAGTTTGTTTGGGTTTGGATTGCATTGGATTTTTGTGGTAGTAGTGCAAGCTATGCACTCTGCATGGCTCCTTTCTTAGTATGGGGTTATTCCAGGGAAAAAGGCACTTGGAGAAACACCCTTCATAAGTCCAGCTAGGAGCACAGGCTGTTACCGTGCAGATGTGCCCTAATTCACTCAGCAATATGGCCTGAGAAGGAAAAAGCAGAATTAAAAAACAACTCAGCTTCTGAGGAATATATCTTTTAGTCTCTGCTTGATTTTTGTCCCAATTTGTTGCAAGAATAATGTTTGTTTATGCCATAGAGTGCTGTCCGGTTTTCATGTAGTATGTTTGCTTTGCCACTGTATTTGTCCCTGTTTCAAAACTCCATTTAATGCTCTGCAGGTGTGCATGTTGTGTTATATAGTTTGGCATATTTAAAAGGACTAACCCTGTTTAATTTTCCATTGCTAAGTGTTTTTGGAAATGTGAAAGTACACACACACACACACACACACACACACACACCTCTCTAGTAATTCAAAACCTCATGAGGCTACTAAATAATGGGTAAATGTTTTGTCGTGACCACACAGCCCTCTCATTGCAGTGTTGTAATACTTTATTTTGGCTTTACTGCATATAAACCACTGGTGAGACATACAAAGCACCTTTTGGGGATGAATGACTTAAGAAAGTTTTTGTGCGATATATTTAGTTATTTTTATGTATGCATTTGTATACATAAAACTATATAAAAGCAAAGAGAGCAACAAAAATGGTTTTGCAGATAGAAATGAAATGTATCCTGTGGTTGGGTCTCTGTACCTCTCAAGACCACAAACAGAGGTCTTTCACAGCTGTCTACAGTCAGCTATATTGGAGATTGACCCTGGCACCATCAGCATGCAGGGCATGTGTTGTTTGCTTTTGCTGCTTCCTTCCTTCCTTTCCTTTTTTTTCCAGAGAGTTTTACAAATGTCAGATGTACTAAATTGGAACACTACAGCCTAAGAATGATAGAGAGATTGTCCTGGTTCCACATCTGCATACACAGTCTTGTGAATGGGCTCTCAGCATCTTCCATTCAATATTTTTACTATTACAACTGTGTTCCTCACAGTGCTCATTGGCAGGCCAGGATGCCTCCAATCCACCCACGCAGCTCTGGCTTTTTAACAGAGACAAGCATGTGTTGTCTTTTGGGGAGTACAAGGGTTTCTTTGCTGAAGAAGGTACCAAAGGTCAGTTTCACTCTTAGGAAGCATATTGATGTGCCTTAAAATAGGACTTAATACAAAATTTTTCTCACCCTGCTCCTCCCTCCCTCCTATGTCTTCATAATGCCTTCGACAGAGGTACTATAAGTAAGCTAAATGCTGATTGAGTTGTCAAGCTTGTACCTTTCCCCCATGCTTCAATCAGATTGTTTACCTTTAAAAATATTTTGAGTCCTGCTAGATGTTATTAAATATAATACTTTTTCAGTGTATTCTTCATTAATATTGGCTTTCAGTGGATTTTTAAAACAAGATGAAAGCCCGGTTATAGCAAACGTTTACATGGAGCATTTCAAAAAACAGGCCCTGGCTTCCTCACCCTTTGCACTCATAATCTGGTTCTGATATGTGGATGACACCTTTGCAATTTGGAACCATGGTGAAGAAGAATTGGAAGAATTTCTAAACCATCTCAACAGCACCCACCATACAGTTCACCATGGAAAAAGAAACAGAGGGCCAACTCCCATTCTTAGATGTAATGGTCGTACGCAAAACTGACCTCTGATTGGGACACAAGGTCTACAAAAAACCCACCCACACAGACCGGTACCTACACAAAAACTCCAACCACCACCCACAGCAAAAAAGAGGCATAATCAAAACACTGGTGGACCGTGCAAATCAGAACTGTGAAGCTGAATTTCTCAGCACTGAACTCAACCATCTGAATTGGGCCCTACAGGCAAATGGTTATTCCAAAAATGAAATCACAAGAGCCATCAAACCAAGAAAACAACACCAAACTGAAGAAGAAAAACAGCCACCAACAAATGAAGTATTTCTGCCATACATCAAAGGGGTCACGGACCGCATGGGGATCTTTTGAAAAAACACAACCTACAAACAGTATTCAAGCCCACCACAAAAATACAACAAATGTTACGGTCAGCAAAAGACAGAAGGGACCCCCTCACCACTGCAGGAGTATACCGGGTACCTTACAGTTATGTATATATTGGAACCATAAAACGAAGCATCCACACCAGAATCAAGGAACATGAGAGACACTGCAGACTAAAACAACCAGAAAAATCAGCAGTAGCTGAACATGCCCTAAAACAAGCTGGACATGAAATTCTATGTCAAAATATTGAAGTACTGGACAGCACCACCAACCACTATGTTAGACTGCACAGGGAAGCCAGTGAAATCCATAAACATCAGCAGAGTTTCAACAAAAAATAAGAAAGTTTAAAACTGAATAAAGCTTGGCTCCCAGCACTGAAAAATACAGCCTGCAAAAGGTCACAAACTCTACCCAGCCACAAGGACTGTTGATCACTACACACAAAAGACCAGCTAACGACACCCATCAATCACAGTGACAGATAATCTCTCCTTATCACAACAATAGACCCACAACAAAAACACATTGATCACCATTATCACCCATCTCCTGAATAGGACAAAAGCTGAACCCTCAGCTATAAATACTCAACTCTCCAACTAATTGCACCAGAGCACAGCATGTTACTCCTGTCCTCTGAAAATGCTGGCCACAGGAAGAACAACCTTCAGAACACGGCCAAAGAACCCAAAAAACCCACAACAACCACAAGATGAAAGCTACTGCAAAGTTGTATTTATAGTGACTCAAGACCCTAGCAGATTAATTTGGCTTTTCTTTGTCTCCTACACCTGAACCATTGAGTTCCATCCTATGGAGGATATATGAATGACCTAGATGTGGTGAATGTTCGTCCACTACCCCCCCACACACACACTACTAAAAGTATGTACATTTGGAAACACCATTAGAGAACTAAGTAAAAAAGATTAACAATGCAGATGAAAAGGGTGTGTTTGGAAAATGCTTTAATCAACCATTAGTTTGGCCATGGCCATAAACACAATATGAAAGAAACATAGGCCAAATCAGGATTGTATAAGCTGCATAACAAACCTTATAAAGTGATGTGTGAAGAATTGTTTCCAGTCTGCAGCCCCCTTCAAATCTGTCAGTGCCCCCCAGGAGGCCATGTGGCCTCAGGTTGAGAATGGCTGCTTTAGAAAACCCCTTGAGCTGGCATTTCCTAGGTAGTGGATTACACAGAAGTGAGTGCAAGAATGATTGGCAGCAAGGAAATCAGATTAAATGGTAGGTGGAATCAGAGGAAGAAATTAGTTGATAGATCAGTTCAACAGCCTCATC